TTGTCTTTGTTCTGTCTGCCATTTTGTAGATCTGGATGTTCGAGCTGGTTGCAGATCAAGCATCCTCCTCCGTATTGACATCGCTGTCCCCAACTTCATCCCATTCATCCTTGGTAGTGGCACAGACTGCACTATCCCCAGCTTTATCCCATTCATCTGATTCCACCGTTATTCTGGAGTCCACAAGAAAAAGGAGGAACCCAACAGGGTTAATGGACCAGAATGAAGCAAAACAGGTAGAGCTTTGAATAAATACATTTGAAATCCTAAATTAATTAGTTTTTTTTGTAAATCTATTCGCAGTATAAAGTAATGTCATTAGAAAAGTTAAATTCTTTAAAAAACCCACTAAATTACCGTAAGCATGCCATAACAATGTAATATTTCTTGGCAGATGGTTGAGGGTGTTCTGAGGGCCAATCCAAAGGGTGAAGAAGTCTTCAATGAGTATGATAAGACTAAAACACTAACTGATGCAACCCGTAAACAAATGGTGAACATCCTGGTTGCAGATATGATAGAGCTACATGGGTAAGAATTGCAGGTCACTTGGTTATGTCAGGTCATGTGTTGTAGCTAAATAATGCTGTTCTGTATAAGTAGTAAAGGTGTATTTATTCTTACAAAACATACATGCTTAAAAGTAAACTATGACTTATTTTTAAAGGAGGGTTCCACCGTCAAGTGTAAGGACCAATTGTGCACTGGGAATTGTGACTCTTTTTCCATACCTCCGTGATTCATTCTCCAAACTTGGATATGTAAATTCTATCTGAAAACCAAATCAGTGTGATTTCAATATCTTCTTCACTTTTCTAGTTTGTACTCATCTTGTTTCAGATGAGTTTTTGTAGGTTGCTCACCCTTGCATTTTCAACCTGTTTTTTAAAATGTTTTGCAGTCTATTCACTGTCTACAATTTTTGTGTTGAGTAACTTATTCTTAAATTGAAGCATGAGATGCCTCTGTTTGTGTCTTTCTTTAAAAAGGAACACTACTATGATCCTGAGGGTAATACTGGCTTAATTTGGAGGATGGAGGATCAAGACGGTTCAACGCAACACCTTTGCTGACTTGCGGGGTCGTTCCAAGACCATTCTTCAGGATGGTCCAAAAACCAGGCGAGAATCTCTGTCAACCTGCCAACAGCTATTTGGTGAGGAGTGCAGGGAGGCGATATCTACAATAAGACATTCCAGCGATGAATCTGTGGTCAAAGAGAAGATGAGAGCGACCTTCCAGTATCGACAGAAGATGGTTGGGGATGATGCATCATCTTCAGTCCTGGATGTGTTCCCTCGTTTTCTTGATGTACCTGGATTGGTAAGAAAACTCTTTTGCTTTGGTTGTAGTTGTCCAGTGTAGAACAGTAATATAGTCCAGTGCAGGACAATATAATATCTGTCTGCACTATACTATAATCTCTTTAATCTTCTTTTCAATCTTCCATTTCAGTATTTGACCTTTCATTAATTTTGTAATGTATGCTCGAACCTTTATATTAAAATATTGTTTTCCTTGTTTGTAGATCGACCAGGATTTCTCAATGATGTTTGGTGACGAAGTGTCTCAGAAGTTCCTGTCCAAGTGGTCAACTTTCTTCAAGCCAAACATCACAGACTGCAAGACTGCAAAGAATATGGATGAGTTGCTGTCAGCAACTGAATCTGAGTCTGAAGAGAACAATGGTCAGTATAAAACGTTTTGTTTAAATATATATTTCAGTGTTATACTAAATAAATACATTTTTTATGCCTTTAGGATGGGACAGTGATATGTCTTCAATCCTTTTACTGCTGCATCTACTCCCTCCAACTTCAAGGGGCCAGAAAAAAACTGCCAAGATCAGTTCAGCTCAAGCAACCAGCCATCTTGTTAGATATCTTAAGGTATGCAAAAGTTCCTACACCAAGAATCCCTGAATAGATGTTGGGATTCTGAGACAGTTTTGCTCTGTATATCTGCAGAAATGTGATCAAGATGTTATAGTCATTTATGTCTCTTAACTGACCTACAGGAAGGAGCCAGTATTACTACCTTCCTTGAGAGTGTCGACGCAAACAACCGTTCCTCCTTTGCATCGGTGAGCAAAAGAAGAATATCCAAAGGTTCTACCTTATTATCGACCGAAAAGCAATCCCGTGCAAGGCACACACATCAGGGGCAGCTTTAGACATTACATTTGGACGCCTGTTCAAATGTTACAAGTACAAGGTGGGTCAGATATTACGGTACTGAGTACCAGGTTGGGTTGTACTTATGCACTGGATGTACCGATGATCTTCCTGTGTTCAAAAAGATCTGTGATATTATAATACATGAACAGCACGCTTTCATAATATCCTGTAATGTACAAACAATGTACTATGATGACCACTTTAGTGCATACTGTATAGAAGACCAAATGAATGTGTTTTCTGTCATATCTGTGAAGGCACTGACTTATTTTAGACCATTTGACAAGCAATGCTCTAATGACAATAGTCAAAGAGCATACATAGTGCCTTATTGTTACATTTAGATAAATGTACAGCAATGAAAAAAGATTTGGTAATGTTGATGCATTTGAAGAAATAAAAATGTTAAAGTAGTGAACTTGTCATTTGTATTTCTAATTATTGACATTTCATTTAAAGATTTTTTTTGGTGTGGGTGTGTGGGGGGTGGGGGGGGCAGCAATAACACTTTATAGTGTTAATGGGGCAACTCCTTTTATAGTATGCACATCACACTATAAGAGTTAATTAATGACTCCAATGAGTATTAATTTCTAACACTACCCACTGGTGTTGAGAAACTAACGCTTGAGTATTGTTAAATTTCAACTATATAAGAGTTAAAATTAACTCTATAACAGTGTTAAAATGGCAACACTTTAAAAAGTGTTACATTGACACTGTGGAGTGTGGACCCCATGGGACACTTTAAAAGTGTTGAAATTAACTCCAATAGTGTTAATTTGAGTCTGTCCATTTTGCTGTGTATGAACAGCTGTGACATCAGAAAGAGATGGATTACAATCCCAGAGAGCAAATTAATTAATATATAGGGAAGAGCTAAGATGTATAATGATCTCTCTAAAACACTGTTCCTCGTTTGATCGCAACATTTTAGCAAGTGCCCATGATATGCAGACTGAAAATAATGTACAGGCCTCTCTGTTAGTTACATTATGCTTCTGATACATGCACTTTTGAATGAACCTTCCCCACATTATTAATAATATACAAAAGAACTTAGTGTAATGTTAGATAAGCGCAGGTTCATGTTGCATTGTCCCATGTAGGAAAGTACGGTCACAATAAAAATAAAATTACTGAATGAATTCACACACGTATTGGGTCCACAGTAGCAGCGGCGGACTGGTTTCCCTTGGTGCGTAGTGGGACTGGTTTCCCTCGTTCTCAGTGGGACTGGTTTCCCTCGGTACGTAGTCGCTGATTGAGAAGGTCTTCTCCCTCAAGGTTGTTAAAGATGGTGTAGAAGAGATCATGTACGCCGTTATAAACGTCTCTCCAGAGCCTTTCTATCCTGATGGGAAAATAAATAATTTAGTCTGCTTACAATGACAGTTTATTACAAATATCTGTGTTAATCTCTTGAAAAGTACTGTTTGCCAATCAAAATCGACTTTAGCAAAGCTCTCCTTCAGACTCCACAATAGAAATAAAAGGTTAGTCTAGAGTTAACACTGTTGGCATCTCATCTGATCACAGTTTA